CACATAATAGCGTTAAAAAATTGTTTTTTTGTTTTGAAATAGAAATAAAAATATATAAGCATATTAGAAATTTTTTTTTCTTAAAATAATATAGAAAATGTCGAGAAGTGCCTTACGTGCAATAGTCGTTAAAATGTTCTGGAAATCTCACTCTTCTTCCAGAACGCGTCGTTTTAAGTTTATTTTCGGATACTGTCGAAGTATCATCGTGTGTGTTGGTTGTCGGATGAAGTATTATAAGTGTCGGGGACGTGTCGTTCGATTGTACCGAAGGAAAATCCACGTAGATAGGATTTCGTTCTAAATACGCTGCTTTGAGTCGATCGATGCTGATGCTATCGTTGGTTCCGTTCTTATCGATTATATAGTACTTCGGTTCGCGTTGAAGAACTTTGGAAGGTCCTTCGTATGCCGATTCGAAAGGTCGTCGATGCGAGTCTCGACGAACGAAAACGTGTGAACTATATCGTAAGTCAGGTTGAATGAAAACATCAGTTGATTGAGGTCGAGTGGAAGCAGGTTTAACTGAACGCATTGCGTTTGTAAGCCTGTTCGTGTAGGAGGTTAGATCCATGCTCATTGAAGTGAATGAAAGATCCACGAATTCTCCTGGAAGTCGAAGTGTCGTACCATAAACGAGTTGAGCCGCGATGTATCCAATGTCAGCTTTCACTGCATTGCGGATACCTAGTAGGACGAGTGGAAGAGCGTCGGTCCACTGTGAAACGTTTGTAGCTGATAGTGAAGCTTTTAGTTGTCGGTGAAAACGTTCTACCAACCCGTTTGCTTGTGGGTGGTAGGCGGTCGTTCGGAAGCGAGTGCTTCCTAATAATGTGATCAGACGACGGAAAAGTTCAGACTCAAACTGACGTCCGCGGTCTGTAGTGATGGTTGAAGGGCAACCGAAGTTTGCTACCCATCGTTCGACGAAGGTTCGGGCCACTGTTTCAGCAGTTATGTCCTTGATAGGTACTGCTTCTGGCCATCGAGTGAAACGATCTACACAGGTTAAGAGGTAGGAGTATCCATTTGAATCTGGTAAAGGTCCTACTAAATCCAGATGAACATGGTCGAAACGAGCATCGGGAGTGTTAAATGAGCCTAAGGGACATTTATTGTGTCTGATGACCTTAGATTTTTGGCAGCTTACATAGGAGCGTGCCCACTCCCTCACGTCTTTATTTATACCAGGCCAGCAAAACCGTTCTGCTATGAGCTTGATGGTTGCACGAACACCTGGATGAGAAAGTTTGTGCAATGTGTTGAAGACATTGCGTCGATAATGTTTCGGGACGATTGGGCGATCCCTACATGTAGATGTGTCACAAAGTAAGGTTTCCTTACCTGTTCCCATCTGTTTGATGCGTAGTTTAAGGGTTGTGGACGATAACTCTTGCCGAAGATCAGTGTCTTCTTTTTGAAGCTGTGCGAGTTTAATAAGGTCGATTCCTTGGAAACTGTTAATATAATATAATAATATATTTCTGCATGTGCAGGTACACACCGTTTTTACAGGCATGATCTATAAATTACAACATTTGTTGGTTCACAAAATGTTTCCCAACTTATTAAGTTTATAGTTGTTATAAAGTGAAATCGTAGAGCGCTTGCTGTAAACTATGACCTTGAGAGGACGCGTACATCAAGTTTGTTCCAAACGTCAGAAGTTTCATAGCCGTTCTCTCAGAGCAAGATTCTGAAGAAAAAAGAGAAACAGAAGAGCAGCAAGGCACTTGGATATGAACGCAAAACGTTGCTTAACATAGTGTGGTAGAACGGACAGAGGTATAATAAATTAGAATAAATTCATATTATGACTTGTTAGTAAAATGAAGTCAGAGGCTCCATATTATAGAATGTACTAATAAATAACAATGAGTTGTGATGTTTAACAAGTTGGAGTAAGCTCACATGAAGGAAAGGAAGTCAAGGCTGTTACTAGGAAAGCGGTTTATAAGAAGGGTGTGTATATAGAGGGTGAAGTGTTAAGAATATTAATGACTACATCTTTTATTGTCTAACTTCTTTTTTCTTTTTTTGTTTGTCCGATGCCAGCCACACAATCCTAGTGTAAAAATCCGAGTTAGCATGTTATAGGTTGTCTCAGTAGAATAGCTAATCCAGCATAATATCGGAAACATGAGTTTGAGTGGTGAGCGTAGGAAAACAATCTATATCACAGATTGATTGAATTATTCTCAGTCATGAGGAGCCTGATACATACAAAATGTTCTGTCCCCACAAACATGGGTGGATTGAAGTTATCGCCCTCACCATCAATGCTTGCTGGTCAGTAACTCCACCCTCCCTCCTTTTGTGATGTTAGGCTCATTTAGCATTATTTTTGTATATACGTCATACCTCGCACAATCCTCTGTTTCACAAACTGTTGGAAAGCACTATTTCTATAAGTACCATTTTACAAGCTTATCAGACAGTTACAAGCTATGGACTGTGGGTAAAGCATCGATGCAGTGCCTCTGTTGACTATAGTATAAAGTATAGTTTGCCAATCAGAGTATAAGCGTTAAGAAGGGTATATTGTAGGATAGTTGTTTATTTAAGCAGGCGGAAAAAGTATAGAAGTATATGAGTTGTGGATATGGGAACGAGTAGAGAAATAATATTAATTGCTAGTCAACATAGTGTACTGAAGAGTAAAAAGTTAATACAGGATAAACAGGAAGGGACTCACAGTAACTTGGTGATGATGTTATTTTCTGTTGTCCTAACCAGTTGATTGGTAACAGGCTCCATAGATGCAAGACCACTGGTAGTAGGCAGCCGATTGTGCGGTCCTCTTGACGTTTTAGGGTGGTAGTGAGTGTCCCTTATCGACCGAGTTTATTTTAACAGTAATGATAGGTCCATTGAGTTACCTGTCTACTTCAAGTGAAGAAATGGGGTGGAAAAAGTAATTAATACAACTGCAAAGTAGGAAAAATAAGGCAAACTGAACTTGAAGTCCATTTTGGTCTAGACATGGAGAGAGCCTATGATGTCTGAGTAGGGCGCAGATGTGTTCGTACGTGCAAGATCAGTGCAAGTGAGGGCCTGATCAAGCAGTTTTACAAACGTATGTAATTCATCTGCCATGCGAGTTTCGGAGGGAAGACTGTTCCATATTATTGCATACTTGGTGAGGAAGAAGTTTTCCCGAGTTTTTGATCTGTATTTCTCAACTTTGACCGTAGATACTTTGTTTCGAAGTCCGTACCTGTTGAATTTGCGCGGTAGTGCCTTGACTACTGCGAGGAATTGTGCACGTGTGTCGATCACGCCGTGCTCGGAGAAGTCAGCTTCTGCGTAGCAGAACCAGGCTTCGATATTGTCGGGCCAGAAAGGCATGAGTTGAAACGAAGGCGGGGACAAAGTCTTAAGCTTGAGTACTTTGGGTGTCTGTTCAGCCATGATGAAATATGAAGTACGATAATGAACGAGGGGAAAAATATATATCCAAGGAAAAACACGAAAAAAAATCACAATGTTTAAAAAAATAAGGTAATGATATATAAAAATCTCAAAAAGGAACAGACTCACAGTTGCAATTAGGTGTACCAGATCATGATGGTCTCACCAATGTAGGATGATACAGGTATTCAGTGTTTGACAACGCTTCTACCAGTAACACCTAATATACTTTGTTCCCACCGAGAGAAATCAAAAGACAGAGTCAAGGAGATCGGAAGAGTGTATTTGGCGATAACCAATATATCGGGAATCTCTGATCTAATCTTGCTAGTGATTGCGGTTGATGTTGAGTGCAGCGTTACAACACGTGATCTGGTGCGGATTCATGACCGAGCGCCTTCAGCTAGATGAGTCCACTAAAACATATGGTCAGCATCCAATGTCGAAAACCTACAGAGCTATTTAGTTTGGGGATTTATTTACCGCTACAATGGCAAATGGGATAGCATTCCTAATGAATAGAGCTACTCCCCCTCCTTTAAGCTTTTGTGTTCTGTCGGCCCTTACTAACGTAAAGCCCTCGAAATCAAGTTCCATACTATCTATAGCCTGTGTCAGCCAGGTTTCTGTAACTGCGATTATGTCTGGCTTTGTAGAGTCAATCTTTACACCTAGTTCCGATGGCTTATTAAGTAAACTCCGGGCATTAGTGTAGCAGATCCGAAGCCTATTTAATTGGCTTCGTGCTTCACCCAGAGTGGCTAGTGTTGGATTTTGGGGGGTTGTCGACGACCTGAGAGGTCGGGTTATGTTTACCGTTTGAAACCGATCGAGCCTTGCGATTGCGGCTTCTAGGTGTTTCCTGTTGGATCCCATCTGGGAGACGGGGAACAAAAGACCCTGCTTTTCTTGAGCTTTTGTTTAAGGCAGGCCACTTCGGAGACTGCTTTTCCTTCTTTGACGGACGTGAGTCATCTATCACCGGACTAACCTTAGCTTCCTTCACGTTGATTTGCGTGTCGACAGATCGAGTGCCGTTTGACGCGTTCCGACTATGTTTGCTAAAACACTTCTTTGCAGCATCAACCAGTGAGATGGCCTCGGTTAACAAGCTGTTGGCATCCGAGCAGCACTGTTGACAAAGCCATACACAACCCTTCTTACTGAACCGTTTGAAAGCAGCAAACGTTAAGTTCGTGCAAACTTCGTGGTACCAGCTTTTGCACTCGTCGCACTGCATGCCGCTTTCAACAGGATAACGACAACCCGGACGTTGGCAACTGCTTATTTTACACTGTCCGGTCATTTAGGAGGGGTTCTTTTTCAAGATGAGTTGATACTCAGAAACAAAAAATAATCAATGACCAAAAAGTGAAGAGCTGTAGATTGCTAGGACCAAAAGTACTAACAGATACAGTTGAAAAAGAGGTACTCAAGAGTACCAACGACAAAACTAATTGAGAGAACAGTAAAAACGATAGTCTAGTCGAATACTTTAACTGAAATAAATTCAATTAAAGTGAAAACAGTAATCTTGATACGTAATAAACGATCAAAACAAACAAATTTACTCAGCGAGGAAAAATACCACTTTTTTAAATAGCGCGCGCGAAATACTGCGTAATTTTTATGACAACGCACCGTGGTCCAAATTAAAGTTAGCTGCGCGTTGCCTGCTTAGTTAGTGCATCCCAATCTACCAGTTTGGGGTAAATTTCGGGTTCTAATCTTTTGACGAGTAAATGTTTCGAATTTTATATCCCACCTATGTAAGACCATATTTAGAGTACTGTATCCAAGCCGCTAGCACATGTCTGGTAAAGGCTACTAGCTCACTTGAGCGTGTCCAGCGTATGAGAACGAAATTAGTGAAGGATCTTTCTAAACTCCCTTACAATGAACGTTCAAAACGCCTAAACCTTTTCCCTTGTCGAATCGTACAACGCGTGGTGACCTTGTACCGGCATTTCGTATATTTAATTACAATTCGGGTGGTAATATGTCCTATCTTTTTTCTCCCTCTAGCACTAATAATCTCCGAGGTCATAGCAAAAAGGTTTATAAACCGCGATCTAATAAACTTGAAGTGGGGTCCCGTTTTTCTCATCGAGTGGTCAATGATTGGAACGCCTTATCTGATCAATTGGTATCAGCCCCATCAGTGAATATTTTCAAGGAGAAGCTGAACCTTCACTGGAAGGTAATCTGTCAGGATTAACGCAGGTTCAACCTACTATCTTTATTACTGACTCTTGCGAGAGCCAGAAGTTCATGAGCTTCGGAATAACGGGTGCTTTTCAGGAACGGATAAAAACTTCTTGTGTGGTCGAAGACGGAGAGTGAATATAGATGGGACACTATCTGAACTGAAGCCGGTTAAGTGGCGTACTCCAAGACACAATTTTAGCTCCCCTACTTTTCCTTTTTACGTCACTGAATCACTGCGACAACTTAGGTCGTCCACGTTATTGCTTACAGATGTGAAAATATGGAGAACAATGGGAAGTGAGGTTGACCATTTCAATCTCCACTCTGACCCAGACGAACTAGTTAGGTGGTTCTACAGCTGAGGCTTGGAAATTAATTCCAGGAAGAGTGTGTCGACGCACATCGTACATGGTAAGAGACACCAGTAAACTATCGACGGGACCTCTTCCGTGCGTGCGGGAACACAAAGACTTAGGAGTACTAGCAAGTTTTGAATTTGAAACAACTACGCATTGCAACGCAGCATCTGATAAAGGTTTCCGAGTGTTGGGGTTACTTCGCCCGAGCATTCAAGTGCTCTGACGAGATGTTTCGGATTTTATATACCACCTGTGTAAGATCACACTTTGGGTACTGTACCCAAGCAGCTGGTTCATTTCTCATTAAGGATACCGACTCGCTTGATCTTGTTCAGCGTTTGAAAACAAGGTTAGTGAAGGATCTTTCCAAACTCCTTCACGACGGTCGCTTCAAACGTGGTGACTTGACATGGGCATTCCGTATGTTTAATAACGATTTTAGTGTTAATATATCTTAGTTTTGTGCTCCCTTCAGTATTAATAATCTTTGATGCTATAGCACGATGGTCCGAAAATCTAGATCTAATAAACTCAGAGTAGGTTTCCGTTCTTCAGATTTAGATGTGTAGTAAGGACAGAAGGCATACGACGTATGGTTTTTCCTTTTCTAGTATGTTTCTGTGAGTGTCTAGTCTTCTGTTGAAAGAGTCAATTGAAGGTGTGGACACCGCTGCTTCGGGTAACAGTTTCCAAGAATTGATGACTGTGTAAAAACGTGTATGCCACTGGTATTTTGTTCGTTCTTGGCTTTTCTACTCGCTTACCATACCCACTAAGATGTCCCGATCTAGTGGGAAGAAGAAGAGAGTATATATTAGGTCCAAAATCATTTTTTGATATTATATACGTTAAGATCAGATCATCTCTTAATCTGCAATAGGACAGAGTAAATAGACCCAGCTTTTCAAGCCTCTCTTTGTATGGTAAACCCTGGGATTGCACGAGTAGCTGCCCTCTGTACGTTTTCCGGAATATTCGAGTCACCTTTTAAACGGGTTTGCGGCTCCAATGCAGTTTTGAAGCTTAGTTCTCATTAAGGAATTTTATACTGTAGTGAACATAGTAGTATCTAACTTGGTGAATGTCCGTTTTAAAGTCCCAAGGGTTCTAGACTTTTTAGCTTTAATATCGCAGCAGTGGGCCGTGGTCTTAAGTTCATAACTCACTGTCACCCCAAGATCCTTGTGAGACCGGACCACGGGTATAGGCACTTCTATGATGTACCTATTTACCTTTGTATCCCCAAAGTGCATGTAGACACACTTGGCCACACCAGCCATTTTTAGACCAGCTAATCAGAATATCTAAACCTGCCTGAAGTGCGCATTCATCTGCGTTTCTTGTTATTTCCCGCCAGATTTTTGAGTCGGCGTATAGCAGCATTGGGGACCCAACTATATTTGGCAGTTCATTTACATACCGTATAAAAATTAAAGGGCATACGACAGCCTTGCGGTACTCATCTAAGTACTGATTTCCGGATGGAACACTTGAAATTTATTCTTACTGTCTACGACCTACCAAGAAATCCATAAGCCATTTTAGGAGATATCCGACACTGCCTAGATATTTCGGCTTCAAGAACTGTCTATTTGGTGGCACCTTATCAAACGCTCTACTGAAGTCTATGTAGACTACTCACACTGATTTTCTATTGTCTAGAGCCTCTTTCCATTGCTCCCTTGCTTTGAGGTTTGCTGTGCAATATAAAACTTTTCTGAAATCATGTTGCTCACTGTTTAACAAGTTGTTGGTTTCCAAGATTATCATTATGGCCTTGTTGACTATTCTTCCCAATATTTTAATTATGACACTGGTGAGGCTGATAGGTCTGTATTTTGATGGAAGTCGTTTTGGTCCTGTTTTATGTATGAGCTTCACGGACTGTAATTATACATGTATTTCGTACCGACTTTTAGCATTCCACTGTACTTGCTCTGCCAAGGCTGATGGCGATGTTCCATCATTTCTTTTGTCGTAGTAAACGTCGAATATCCCGGCCTGTTTAGGGATGACTGTGCTTCTTTTTTGGACTGTTCAGGGTATAAATGGTTGTTACTTGATTGTATAACTGCCGGAAATGAGTCCATACGTCTTGTACTAATGCTCCTGAGTCCTTAACATGCCTCCATCAAAAGTGAGTAATTATCGGAAGTTATTTGTTTAAAATAATATCTTCTACTTCAGGTACACTGAGGCTTCGAAATTATAAGTAGCCCTTGAATGACTTGTGAGAGCTATTATTTGCTTAAATTAAAACCTAAGTGTAGTAGTGCATTATTCAGACCATAATCATAACCAGAATAATAATTCAAATCAATTTATGATATGATTAGTGTTAGTAATCAAACTGACTACATAGCGTCAGATTTTTTTCGCTCTAATGTATGCATAATAAATTATTTCTGAATTTCCTAGATTCTGTTGAATTCCAAATCATCTTTTGTACTCGTTGTGGTATTTTTTAGTGATTAATAATAAATATGGATGAGATTATCCCAGGTCTATGGCTTGGACCTATGCCATTTGCAGAAAATATTTCAGTCTTAAAAAGAAATGGAATAATGTCAATTTTAACATTAGATATCCTGCCATTAGACTGCAATGTATTCAAAGGATTTAACATGAAGTTCTTATATCTGCGTGACGAGCCATCCCAGGATTTGCTGGAAATTCTTGAAGATGCTTTAAGTTTTATTGATGAAAGTATAAAAAATAACTCAAATATTTTGGTTCACTGGTAAGCGGAGTAAATACATAGTGGTCTAGTTTTTTTAAATTAAAAACGGGTGAACGGAGTATAGTGCTATGGGTGTATCTCGCAGCGCCAGTGTTGTAATCGCCTACCTTATGCGTCGAAATCATTTATCCTATGAAGAGGCTTATAATATTGTTTCAAGGAAACGGAGTATTTTGTAATTACGGTTTTACTGATTGAATGTTTTATGGTTGATTTCTATTAATATTTAGTCCCAACAATGGATTTATTAATCAGTTAAAGTTGTTTCATATTATGAAGTGGACGGTCAACCGTGATTCTCCATTATTTCAACAATATATGACGAAAAGAACCTTCTCAGTTTTTACGGGTTCGCTGCTTATAAGTGCTATTTCTAATCCCTCTTTTTAATAGATTATAATGGTGATCTTTTAGAAAGTCAAACAGTCTGTCAGTTGCACACCACACCTTCAAGTTTTAGATGTAAAAAATGCAGGTTTCTGTCCTTTAAAAAAATAAATGCGATTTTTTTTTCAAAATATAAATTTATCTTTGTAGACAAGTGTTATTCAATTCTAATCAGTTACGCATTCACCAAAAACCGGAGACAACACCTAATCCTCTTATAAATTCTACAAAATCCAAGAACACTGACAACGTATCTAGTGTCTTAATCAAAGGTGTTTCATTAAATAACTCTCCTTTACAATGTGATAAAAATGAATTGTTTTGTGACCCATTGGAATGGACATTGCACAGTACTAGTGATGTTCAAGGAAAGGTATGCAATCCCGTTATTTCGCTGGAGTTTTGTAAACCACTAGTTTTAACATTAGTTTGTTTGCTATTCCTCCAGAGTATTTATACTTTGAACCATCTTTAACAGATATTTCGACCATGGTACATTATCTTTGTAGTATTAGACAACTAGTTAAAGCATAGAACCTGGTACTTATGTACATCGATTCAAGTTGCTATACCCTATTATTATTTCAACACATAGATATTAGTATAAAGAGGCACCAAATACATATGCGCCACACAAATCTCATTCGATATGTGTGAGGGCTGTGATACTGCCCGGGTGCCCAGACCGAAGCAGGTGGTTTTCTTAGGGGGCCACACCCCGAGCCTTCGATCTGAGGGTCTGATCCACAAGGCAGTGGAGCATCGTAAGGAGATGCAGTCCCATGGTAGCCGGTGACCAACAACTGGTTCGTACGCTATTTGTTCCCTCAGGATACTGGAGCCCATGTGCACCATTGGTTTGGAATCCGGTTAAAGCGCCGGACATTCGCTTTTCGTCCTCTCATTTTCGTGAACAACACCCCCGCCGCGAGAAGGCAGTGAGTAGGACTTCCCTGGCAGAGGCTATATACGCGTGGCCATGTGAGAGCATTTCGAGAGGGAGAGCGGACTCTCCCCATTCTCGGCTGTACCAGGGCATTGTCATGTTTATCCCAGAATAGTAGAAGTAGTAACAGTATCAGTGGCAATAAGAAATATTAGACATCGAAGACACGACTTGGAAAGAAAATATAAATTGGTGAAATAAAAGCAAAAGCAGTTATAAAGAGTTCATAATCTCAGGATTTAGGAGAATACAAAGAATCGATGCACCTGCGCTATGGCGAATGATTTTGAGCCATATTATTCAAAATCTCTAACAATTGGTTGCAGTGATCAAGCGGACACCATCCAGGTAGTCTCTACCTATTAACATGGCTCAGTCCAATTGTTAGTGACTTCAACCAAAACGTGGCATCAGTGCATGAAGTCACTAATTTCTAGTCTTAGCCATGTTGTTAGATGCAGACTACTTGGTTGGGGTCCGCGTGACTATCATAACCAATGGTTGGAGACTCTTGGTGACATGGCTCAAAATCGGTCACAATGGCGTAGGTGTATACACCCTCTATCATCCCTTAAACTATGAGATTAAAATCGTTTTATATCTTTCTTTCTACGAACCAATTCTTTTTTTCTGTACTATATCCTTACATAAGATTTTTTATATATTACACCATTGAGTTAACTGATTCTATGAATCCGGTGTTCATGTTGCTGTGCTAATGCGGTATGACAAGTTGGACCGGTGCATATATGTGCCTGGTCCTATTTTGTAACTGACTGACTGTTAGTGACATCATGGACTGACGTTGTGTTTGGGTTTGGGCGCCCTTAGTTTTGTTGCAGCCTGTTTCTACACCAAACAACATCGCTCGTTGAGGTAGGCCGTAGTTAAGCTCACGTAACGAATGTCGCAACCACCTCAGTTGATACAGATTCACTACCTGATGGCACCCTATTCCTAATCCATGCATTACTTAGTCTGTGATCTCAACACACATGAGCAATGCTTCGAAGACATCTATGATGGAATACTAGTAACCTACGAATATCCTCTATTACTAGTGGTCATGTTTCACACTCATGAAGTAGAACGAATTGAACTGCTGCTCAGAGAACCCGTCCTTTGTTTGGCAAAAGGATGTCACCTGCACCACAAGTGATGCAAGTTGGTAAGAGCCAGTCGGACTGTCAGTGTATGTGAAAATTTCGTCAGTCATCAGATCATCATGATTGATGAGACGCCCAAGATAAGTGGAGTTGACGATGCGTTCAGCTGCCCCACTCATTGTGATTATTCCGGTGATGACGCAAGCCAATCGCGAAGCAACATTTTGCACTTGGCAGGAGAGGACTGCATCTCAAACATGCTTGCATTGTGTTTTAAGATGGCCAGAAGACTGAATTTTTCTAGCGTCTTCTCCAAACACAACTATATCTTCTGGACATTCCAAGTGTGCAAGTGAATCTTCTGGTAGATCAACTCCTGAATAGTCGAACGATGATAATATTATTTCTAAAGGCATATCTATGACAGTTAAACCAGCGTGGTTTACTCGGCTTTGCTTTTCAAGAGTTCTAGTTAGATGTGGACGTATTATAGAGACTAATATTTTAGACAGTGAATTATTTAAACTGTTTGCTCTGTGATTGCCATAAGACGACTTTTGTGATTTCTTATAGAATAACGATCAGCGACCGAGATCGATTGCATTGAATTACGTGCAATTTCCAGGTTTTAGCTAAGATCTCAGTTAATCTAACTGCTAGAACTGGGTCATCGTCCTTAAAAATATAAGGGGTTAGTCCATCAGGCCCTGCTACTCTCTTTCGCTTTAGATTGCCTATAGCCTTATCAACCTCACCAAGGGTTGTAGGACATACGTCTACTTGACATTCAGCTCGCTTTGGGATAGTAAGTAAGTAAAGTGTGGTTGGAGGCCAGTTGAACTGTTCCCTAAAGTGTTCTGTCTATCAGTCCGATCTCCATCAGTCAGTCAGTCAGTAACAACGTAGAACTTAGTACGTAAGTACATCAGTTCGAGTTGCCATACCACATTAGCACAGAGATGCAGTGGTCGATTCAAATCCCGTAGTGGTAGAGGTAGCAAGAGTATAAGCAGTAATCGGGAGGATTAGGGTTTGGAGATGTTATTTAACGAGTATAATCCAGTGAAATAAATTTGGAAAGAGGAAAAAAAGGGGCATGAAGAATTCAGATAATTAGAATTTGGGAGAACATAGAGAGTGGATGCACCTGCGCCATTGCAATCGATTTTGAGCCATGTCATTCAGGGTCTCTAACCATCGGTTGCTATCATCTCGCGGTCCCCAACCAGGTAGTCTATACCTACCAACATGACTCTGTCCACTTGTCAGGGACTTCATGGATTTGTGCCATGTTTTGGTCTGGCCGCCCCTAGCTTTCTTCCAACCTACTCCTATACCACTGAATATAGCACGTCGAGGTAGTCGGTGGTTGGGCATACGTAACACGTGTCCCAGCCATCTCAACTGATGAAGTTTCACTACTTCATCAATTGATTTGCCATCCTTACCTAGTACCCGTTTCCTAACAGCTGCGTTACTTACTCGGTGGTCCCAGGATATACGAGCAATACTTCGAAGACACCTATGATCAAATACTAGTAACCTACGAATATCCTCTACTCTTACTGGCCATGTTTCACAGCCATAAAGTAGGACGGAACGAACTGCTGCGCAGTAAACACGTCCTTTGGTTGGTAGACGGATATCTCGCCTACGCCATAAATGAAGCAAGTTGGCAAAAGCTAGTCGAGCCTTCTGTATCCGTGCTGAGATTTCGTCACACACCAGACCACAAGGGCTGATGAGACTTCCAAGATAAGTGAAGCGGTCGACAGACTCAACTACTTCACTCCCTATCACTAGTTCGGGTGTCGATGTAACCCAATCCTGAAGCAACATTTTGCATTTCGAGGGAGAGAATCGCATCCCGAACATGCTTGCATTGTTGCTTGGAGTGGTCAGAAGACTCTGCATTTTGTCAGCGTCTTAACCAAATAAAACTATGTCATCAGCATATTCTAAGTCAACAAGTGAACCTCCCGGTAGAAGTTCAACCCCCGGAAATTTAGATGAGGAGAGTGTTATCTCTAAAAGTACGTCGACCACAAAGTTGAACAAGAATGGGGAGAGTGGACAGCCCTGACGAACACCACTTGAGGTAATCAATTCTGATGACAATTCGCCATAAGCTCTCACTCTACCAGATGTGTTCGAGTAGAGAGCCTTTATAAGGTTAATGTACTTCTTTGGTACTCCTTTCAGTGACAAACACTGCCATAGAACCTCACGATCAACAGAGTCGAATGCCGCCTTAAGATCGAGAAATACTACCATTGTGGGGCGTCTGAATGTGTGTCTGTGTTCTAGAACCTGACGTAGTGTGAATATCTGATCTATACAACCACGTCCAGGTCGAAAACCGGCCTGGTTTTCTCTAATCTGCTCTTCACGAGCTTTGATTAGGCGTCGAAGTATTATTGAAGCTAATATTTTAGACACTATATTAGTCAAACTGATTCCTCTGTGATTGTCACAAGAGGACTTTTGTCATTTCTTATAAACTGGTACAATCAGTGATTGAGACCAGTCAGATGGGATTACGTCCAGTTCCCAAATTCTACCTAAGACCTCGGTTAATCCCATTGCTAATACTGGACCACCATCCTTAAAAATCTCAGGAGTAAACCTGTCAGGGCCTGCTGCTCTCCCTCGTTTCAGATTTCCTATGGCTTTTTCAACTTCATAAAGAGACGGAGGACTTACATTAACTTGCCATTCAGGTTGACTGGAGATCGTGGGAAACCGAAGTGTGGCTGAAGGCCAGTTGAACTGATCCCTAAAGTGTTCTGCCCATCGATCCAATCTCCTGGATTAAGAATGAATAATATGTCCATCTTTCTCTGCGATTGTTTCGCTAACAGTCGGGTTCCTAATTCCGGTTTCCTTAACGAGTCTAAACAATTGTCTGCTATTACCTATTGCCGCTGCCTTCTCCATCTCTCTTGCTTTCGCTACCCACCACTGTTCGCGATCATTGCGTAGACTTCTTGTCAGTTTGCGTTTAAGTTGACTCCGCTCTTCACTATGTTCAGAGCCAGGTGGAATGAGTTTCCGAGCATCTATCAGTGCGATAGATGCTGCTGAGATCCAGTGTTGCTCCCTAACCTTGTGGTTTACCTTACTAACAGATATCACTGCTGTTTCCACAGCTTTTCGGATATCATTCCATGCTGCCTCGGGGTGGGCATCACATACATGGCTGCCTAACTGTTTTCCTAGTTGTTCCTGAAATATACTCTTAGCTTGACTATCATTAAGTAGGCCCCTAAGAGGTTTCCTTGCAGCGTTTTTCCTACGTCCAGTAAGACGCAAGCAAATACGCGCTCGTACTAGAGCATGATCTGAATCTAGGCATGTGCTCCAGAATGAGCGACAGTCTTCTATCGAGCCCCTCCATCGATGGCTGATAGCGATGTGATCTATTTGGGTCCAACGTTGGGACGAATTAGGGGGTCGCCATGTTAAAAGATGTCTTTCCTTATGCTTAAAGTTAGTATTTGCAAGGAACAGGCGGTTATCTGAGCATAGCTGCAACAGACGGTCGCCGTTATCTGTTCTTTGAGCCACGACACCATAAGATCCACCTAGGTGTCTTTCCCTATCGCTCAGTTTACCTACTTAAGCATTAAAGTCACCGGCCACTATTACTACATCCGAGCGCTTAGCTTTTCGGAGAAGGTCCGAAAGCTTTCTGTAAAACTCATCTTTTACATCATCTGAGCTGCAGTCAGTGGGAGAATAGGCAGAGACGACGAAGAGGCAACGACGAGTGTCACTATCTTTCCGGATTCTTACTGTTCCGTTCAGTCGGACAGCGCACAAACGACTGTCTACTGGGATCCACTCTAAGAGAGCTAGTTCTGCCCTAGGACTCAATGCTATACCTACGCCGGCGACGCCACGGGAAGCAGAATCAGGGCTTCCAGATACACGAAGCGTAAATCGAGTCGGTTCTTTATTTTGGCATGGTGAGGTCAAATGAATGATGCTACTTGGATCCTGTATGCGCGTTTCGGAGACGCAACACACATCGATGGCGTAAGATTCTAAAGTCCTAGCTAAGGAAGCCTGCTGTCCTATTTGGCACAGTGTTCGTACGTTAAAAGCTCCTACGTGTAGTTTAGAGCGTGGTTTCAGGAGACCAGGAATAGCGTTCCACGTACTCGAATCGTTTGCCCTAGTGATGCGAGGTGATAAAGAGACGTGAGGAGGGTTAGTCATGGAGATAAGAGAGGTATTAGAAGGTGTAGGAAGGATTTGAATGTGACCAACTTGGTCTCGCGTGCTGTTACGGGTATGAGGGCTGATGTCACTTCCCGGCTGCCCACACCGTGGAAGGGTATTTCTTGAGGAACCTGAAAAGGAAATTGGATTAGTGTTGGTCTTAACGACCTGGGAGCGTGACCGCAGAGCCCAAGGGACAACTGCTTGAGGCCGGTCGCGCACGGCCTTTTTGTAGAAGGTTTTTGACGTGTTAGCTCCGTTCTTCAGATGGCCTTACCGCCGGAGACGGAAATCCGTGAGGTAAGGTGAGGTGTGACATTTTTAGGGTCGACCTTTTCTAACCCCACCCCTCCTTGTGGGAAGGCAGCATCGCTGTCATGCTGATTGTCCGAAGGAAACACCTTACTGCTGTCACACCTCTGTACAGTCAGCAGTACGACTTCGCCCTCAGACTTTGAGTTGCTGCTTTTAGTCTTACCGTTCACCAATCGACCTGCCTGGCATGGTAGAACCTACAGGAACATATGTTCCAGCCAATATAGCTCGGATGGGTCATCACGATAGGCAAGCCCGACCACCACGTCAAGGTAGCAGCTTCGGTCGGGAAATAACAGTGCGCATTCATGATCCCGCTCGCAGGATTCGAACCCAGGGCCTCCAGTATCGCGCACAAACGCTTAACCTACTGGACCACTGAGTCCGATCTCCATGATTGACAGTGAATATTAGTCCCGTCTTTTACTGAGATTCACTAACGGCTGTATTTTTATTACCCGTTTCCTTGATAATTCTGAGCAGTTGATTACTGTTACTTATTGCAGCTGCCTTTCCCATCTCTTCTGTTTTCACAACTCACCACTGCTCACGATCATTGAGTAGGCTTTTTGTCAAGCAGACAGATACGTGCTCGAATTAGACCATAGTCTCAGTCTAAGCCTCTGCCCGACCGTTGTTGCTGCCTTGACGTGGCAGTCGGGCTTGCCTATCGTGATGAACCAATTGAGCTATACTTGCTGGGACAATCGTTCCTCAATGTCCTACCATGCCAGACAGGTCAGTTAAAGAGCGGTAAGACTAAAAAAAGCAAACCCAAAGTCTGAGGGTGAAGTAGTACTGCTGACTGTACAGAGGTGTGACGGCAGCAAGGTGTTTCCTTCAGAAAACCAGCATAACAGCGATGCTGCCTTCCCACAAGAAGGGGTAGAGTTAGAAATGGTCTACTCTAGAAATGCACACGTCACCTTATCTCACGGATGTTCGTCTACGGCGATAAGGTTTCAAAAATACGGAGCTAACACGAAAATTACTTACAAAATGTCGTGTATGACCGGCCCCAAGCAGTTGTCCCTTGGGCACTGCGGTCATGTTCTCAGGTCATTAAGACTTCCTCTAATCCAATTTCCTTTTCAGGTACCTCCGAAAGGACCTTTACACGGTGTGAGCAACCGGGAATTGATAACCGCCCTCATACCTTTAACAGCACTCAAGACCACTGCTGATTGGTTGCTGAATTGTGTTGTTTGATCCATTAAATAGAATTCCTAGTCTAGTGGTGTGTGCATTTTTTGGTACTATATTTTACCAGACTTTCGTATGTTATTACTTTTTTAATTGAAATATAGGCACGTACTCAGTGAATCTAGCTAATTCTCAGTGTTAGGCACTATCCAATAGTTTTAGATGGTGATTGGAGGTAGTCAACAGGAAACCCTGGACCCGGGTTTCGTGCTACTTGGCACTCGTCAGCAAGGTGTACCTGTAATCTTGAGGGAACTGGTGCTCCCTGTCGGATTCGATCTCGTGTCACCCAGCTTCACAGTCAGAGACGTTACCACTGAGCTATCCGAGCCGTGACTAACCTCCTGTAGGACTGAGATGTAATTACAATTGATTGATCACTTCAATGTCTTGCTTGTCTAGTGATCAATCAATTGTAACTATCCAATAGTATTAGTTCTTCAACTCATTTCGCCTTTAGCTTTGTTAGTTCTTATAATAAATTTAGTCGGGATAATGTGTAACCTATAATAGGGGCTCCATGCATTCTAATGGAGCTGTATTTCGCTTGTTCAATTTTCACCATTTTCCTCGATTCTGGCAACTGAATAGTGTCATAAACGCTATTCATACAAATACTGACAGGAAGCCGAATTTATGTGCTTTTGTACATTTCTTTATCACATTTTAGCTTTATTGTCCTGGATGCAACGCTAAAGTTGGCTCTTTCAATTGGTGTGGTAAGCTTGTTTTTGCTAATAAAATTTATTAATTTAATTGGGAAAACTATTAAATTAATTTAATGCTTGTTTTTCACACACTTGAGGTAAGTGTTTACTGAAAGCAATTGTGGTTAAGCACAAAGTACTAGTGGGAAAAACATGTTAGTTGTATGGTGGGCGATTATTGTGGCGCATATCTATTTGGTGCCTCCTTGCACCAATGTTTATGTGTTTAAATAAATAAATATGTGAGTGATGTGATTAGCTTGTGCAGGCTGAAGTGTCTGGGAATTTTTTTGTCATTCTGATTTTCAGTATTTACCGATGTAGTGGTATGTTAAAAAATAGCTGAAGATAGTAAAATCAGAAAGATATTTACCATCAATACGAACGGCCTTAATTGCTAATGTCTGATGGCATTACCTTTGTGAGAACAAATATTGCACAAAAGTGGATCGATCGAAGGAACTTTATTTGTTTAAAAGCCTAGCAATATAAAAGAAATTCAAAAACATCCGTAAAGCTAAAGTGAAAAAAAAACGCATGAAGCGTTCAACATTTTAAAGAAAATCGTAGATGTTTGTTCTGACAGGACACTGATCCTTTTCTCACCCTAGGTAGTGAGCAGATAGTAGTCGAAAAGTTGATGTATCTGGGTAGCTGCACAGCTGCCACTGGTGGACCCCAGATGGCCTGGTACGGCCGAGAGTGGGGAGAGTCCGTTCTCCCTTTCGAAATGCTCTCACATGACCACGCGTATATAACCTCTACCAGGGAAGTCCTACTCATTACCTTCTCGTGGCTGGGCGTTGTTGACGAAATCGAGAGGACGAAAAGCGAATGTCCGGCGCTTTAACCGGGTTGGTGGACATGGGGAGTCCACCTAGGGGAGTTGGGAAACCCTGATTCCAAACCAATGGTGCACATGGGCTCCAGTATCTTGAGGGAACAAATAGCGTATGAACCAATTGTTGGTCACCGGCTACCATGGGACTGCATCTCCTAACGATGCTCCACTGCCCTGTGGATCAGACCCTCAGGTCGAAGGCTCGGGGTGTGGCCCCCTAAGAAAATCACCTGGTTCGGTTTGGGCAATCGGGCAGTATCACAGCCCTCACATATATCGAATGAGATTTGTGTGGCGCATATGTATTTGGTGCTTCTTTGTACCAATATCTATGTGTTTAAATAAATAAATAAAATAAATGAGTGGTGGTGTGAGTGTTAAGACCAATTCACGTATAGTGAGAGCCAGAGCGGCTTATGCTAATCTGTGCCATCTTTGGCACTTTCATGATGTTAGTTTGGCTGTAAATGGTCGGATGGACAACGCTTCGATGAGAACAATCTTGCTATGTGCTTGTGAAACCTGAACTTTTTGTGTATGGTCATTGTTGTCACCGAAGGATTGTTGACATTCAGTGACAACATCATATTATTTATGCAGAAGTTAGGTATCGTGTGTTCGTGCACAGCGACGACAATTCAATTAGTGTCACTATCTTGAAACATCGATTTCGGTGACTCGGACATGTTCTACAAATGTCGTTCCACAGGATTCCACGTGGTGCATTATTTACCGATGCCGGGACTGGTTGGAAAAAGCAGAGTTGGTTAGTGTATGAAATGATGTTGTGGTGTGAAAGAAAGCTATACAGGACTGGCTTCTGTTGGTCCTTCACAACTCCCTGGTTGGGGTCTCAGATTTATTTCAACAGAGTGGCTAGAGACGTTATCAGACATGACTCAGAATAGGAGCCAGTATCAATCCTACTGTAACTTCATTTTGCTTTCCTTAAAACATGAACGTAACTTCTTTAGCTGGAAGAATTCTCTCTGGCTGTACTTTTTCTAATTGAACTGTTTTTCCCGTTATTATTATTTTACTCTCATATACTGATTCCTGTTCTTTGTCGTTCTCCTCTTTCTTATATGCACTTTACATTCTCTCTCTTCACAGCCTCATTGTTATCGTTTGGCGCATATTTATTTGGTTCCCTTTTGTACCAATATCTATGTGTTCAAATAAAAATATATATTTGTGGTCAGAGAAACATAAACTAAAGACATTTGATGAATAATAGATTAAGTGATATACACACACGTTTTTTAAAAAAAATCAGAGTTATAGGAGAATAATTGATGAAGTCAAAATGTGACTTAAATTTTATTACTGTTTGCAAAAGACGGTTATCATTTGAACCAATTTTCTCTTGTCCTTCAAATAAGCTATCTCATCATACCATCACACAGAAAAGTCTAATGCTACACTATTTCTGAAGCCAAGGTTCAAACTATTTATCATTAAAATGTATTATACAGCCAAATTCGTCATTACTGAAGGAGTAAAACTCATGCTTTCCCCTTAAACATCAGCATCAGATAGATGTCATGCTGGTAGGTGCAAGTTACTTGGCTGAGTGGGGTTTGTACAGTTATTTTGACTGATAGGGAGAGATGGATGGTGGCTAGCAGTGGAATCCAGAACGCACGTTTTGTCTTATTTGGGACTCGTCAGCTAGATTCCACTGCTGAGCACCATCCGCCTCTGCTTATAAAGCTTGTGACTTAGGGCAATATCGTGGCAGTTCGCACAGGATGCACATATGCCAACAACAGGCTGATTAATTAAAGTTCCTAAACAACAATGGGAGGATACAAGCAAACAGTACTAAGTGAATTTAGACTTCACCCCATTGCACAAGCAGGTGGCTATCAGGACTCACTAGTTAGGTGGATAAAGCGATGGCATTTGAAGAGTGTGGTACTGGGTTCGAGTTCCAGGGTAAATGTCAACTCTGGGATGCAGGCACATTCGGTTGACGAGTTCCCAAAAGGACGAATCACACGTCCTGAATTCCGCTGCTAGCGTCCATCCATCTCTGCTTATAATGCTTGTGATTCAAGGCAGTATCGAGTTAAGTCACACAGGGCGCACATATGCCAATACGAAACTAGTTAATTGCAGTCCTAACCATCAATAGGAAGATTCAAACAGCCAGTACAAAATGAATTATCGTGAATAATGATTGAGACGTCTTAGTAACATGGCTCATATACATTCTCTGTTTGTCTTCCCTTAGACCATGAGCTTCATAGTTACCTTGTATCTTTTATCCTCTAAATTCATTCTTCTGAAATCGTGTTATCTTTGTCTAGTGTATCTTTAATGTCACTGATACTATTACTACCACTAATTCTATCTTGGTAACAACTTTAATCGATTCCAGGTTCTACGTTGCCTATGATCACACAAATAGTTGAGTCAGTCCAAATGGGTGTGTACACTAATTCGTATTAGGAAGTAATCGAGTTATGGATTCAGTCAGATAGCCATTATGAACGCGTGACGTGTCACGAGTGTGCATTTATACAAGTTGCCACATTTCATACCAGGACATAGCGGCTAAATAAATAAGATGATGAGCAGGTGGTAGAAAATGATATCGATTGTGACGGAACGCTAAATATCGTAAATACAGTTAAAAAACAAAGGCTATCAAAAGGTAGAAAGTCGGAAGTAATACTTAACTCAAGATTTAGAACAACATAATGAATAAATGCAACTGGGCCACTGTTACGTGTTCTACACCATGTCACCCAATGTTTTCAAACATTAATCAGATTATTTGTGCGGACGTTAACCAAGTAGTGTCTGGATCTATTAACATAGGTCCCCAACAATCATTGATTTCATGAACTGATATTACGTCTTGGTTTGGCCACCATAACTTCCAATCTTTCACTACTTCAGCCAACATCTTTTAACGAACTAGGTAATATTTGGTGTACGTAACATGTTCCATTTATAGCCTCAGCAAAAAATTTGCTACATTCGTTCAGTACTGTGAATTTGACCCCAGTATTGTTCACTCAGTTTTTTCTGAGATACGAAAGTAATACTTAGAAGACACTTATAGTTAAAAGCCTGTAGTATGCTCATTTGTTCTATTCCCATAAACTATACTTAGCAGCTATATAGTATTCTAAAGAGGATTGTTGTGCACTATGCTCTCTCCTCATTTTCCATCCGGTCATCCTGCTTACGTCAAATGTGACGTAGGTTGTTAAAAACTGCGGGGAACTTTGAATCCGTTCTCAGATTGTATCAGACGTTAACTTGTTAGGGTTGCTTAGACTTTCATGATTAGTAAAGTAGTCATCGCTCGACTGCTTCACCCCTCACGGTTATTCTACGCTCTGACTCAGATTAGTTCTAAGCAGGAGTTCGAATTTACCAGGAGAGGAACTAATCCTAAACAACTTGGATTGTATGGGCTATCAAAAGACTTGATTTTGTCTGGGTCTTTTCCTATCAGAGTGATATCGTCTGCGTATTTCAAGTCGCTAATTAAATCTTTTGTTAATTCGAATAATTTTTTATAAGTTAGAGATATAAAGTATTATTATTAATATAATATCTTTGCAGAAGTTTCATAAATATGAATATAATTGGGAGTCTTGAAGAACATATAATTTTATGGATTTGGATTTGTTCAACTAAATAGCTTTCACAAAGTTTATGTACTTTTTCAGCCAACCTTTTAGTCAGAAAGTTTGCTACACAATTTCTCAGTCGATGGAATCAGATGCCGCCTTCCGGTGAGGAAATGACACTATTGTTAGATGTCAGAAATTAGACCTTTGTTCTACAACTTCATAGAAGTTAAATACTTGATCAAAACACTCAAATCCATATCCGAAAACTACATGATTTTCTCGAATTTGTTGTTCACAAAGAATAATTCGAAGCAAGCTCCATAATTTCTTTACGCAAGATGTCAGAGGCTAGCTCTTAAATTTATAAGATCCCTAATCCTCAAGAAACTCGTACACCTATGTGTAGGAAAATAATTTGTTTTTATCAATAAATCTACCTAAGTCTTTAACCCATTGTTTATTAACTGGATGAATGTACCATACTTTCCACTTTTCAAACCTATTTGATGTCTTGTCATTTTCACATATAATACCTTTACAACAGAAAATTTAATCAAATTGTTTAAAAGGTGTACTAAACGAATATCCCAAGTTTTTCATGATATATGTATATATATTCAAAACAAAACTTTATTTTCATTGATTTATTTAGGCGAACCATGTGTATGTGGCACATGGGTAGTTCCAGCATTTCATTTCAATCGTAATCACATTGATCGTGTACCAATACGTTCGAGAAATGTGATTACTATTCCATCGAAGCCTGTAGAAGACAGTAATTCCTTCGTTACGAATGCCGATATGAATCAATCATAATCTTATCCACTGTATGTTTCTTCTATCCTGTATTGTTCTGTCTTCTTTGTAATATATGAGCGCGCATTTACATCAAACTGATAGTTTACTCAAGTTTCCTCCTCTTTCCTCAAATACAATTTAAATCAATTTAATATCTTCAAGAGATTTATTTCTTGTGATTTATTTGATTACTATGTATATTTCCCACTTTGTTTTAGAATAGTTGGATCCATTCTTTTTATCAATAAAACTACATTCTGTTTCATGGAATTCTTGTGTCTTTTTTTGTCAAACAATTGAGATAATAAGCAATAGTACCTGTTCTGTGGGTGGTGACATTGATATATTGCAAGTGTTTAACAAAAACCTAATTGATATGTACAAAAATATTAGTAATCTAACATCGCTACATGCCATCATTCAGAAAATACAGGTGTTTATTAACAGTTGTCTACGCAAAATACTTCGGATCCGTTGGCCGGACACTATTAGCAACAACCTACTGTGAGTGAGAACAAACCAGATCCCAGCGGAGGAAGAAACCAGGAAGAAGCGCTGGAAGTGGATAGGACACACGTTGAGGAAAGCACTCAACTGCGTCACAAAACAAGCCCTCACATGGAATCCTCAAGGCCAAAGGAAAAGAGAAAGACCAAAGAACACATTACGTCGGGAAATGGAGATAGACATGAGAAAAATGAACAAGAATTGGATGGAATTAGAAAAGAAGGCCCAGGACAGAGTGGATTGGAGAATGCTGGTCGGCGGTCTGTGCTCCATTAGGAGTAACAGGCGCAAGTAAGTAACATCGCTACATCCATTTTCTGTCGTTTATTGTCAATGTAAATTCTTTGATCAATTGAATCTCCAATGATTTAATATCATGGTATATTATGCTAAATGTTCAAATCTATCAGTTAGTCAGTCAAAACAACCAAGGAGCTGAGGTATAGTCGAAAAATTCAAAGTAATACAAAGCAAATTATTGCTACAGTGTAATTACGGTTTGAAAGGCGGAAGATGAACTCACTTACATGCATACACATTTTACTCCGTATGGTTTGCCTAAGATTTTGGGCAGATCAATACTAAAATAAGATTTATAAATCCATTTTGAACGTATTTATTACTCAAGATGTGCAAAAAGAGTTTTGTCATCTACATCAAATAAGACTCATCTATTTATAGGGGGTTGTGGTGATAGTCGTGGTCGTAGATATGCACGACTGTGTACCTCCGTACTTAGATAAAACGGCTGTCTGGTGCTTCCGGCTTTCTAATAGTAATCTAACTTAGATCGGTTCATGGTTTCAAATACATGCCTATTGTAAGTTGATCATTAAATTTCATGATAGGAGGTAAATCCTTAAAATTTTAGACAAAGAAAGTGTTACCCCTTGAAGTATTTCTCTGAGAAAATTAAATAAAAAGGGAGGGAGTGCATGGTTTTGACTCAGGCTAAGTCAAATGATATTTTCTAGTTGATGTTAATTTATGACGGAAGCTGTCATCAAATTAACCGAACTTACACGATCTGTTGCAAATAAATAGGAAGTTGAGATATACATTTGTGTCAGCGTTACACTTCCATAAGCTTGTTGACTGGGCTGATTTATAACTCAACTTTCGTTTTGAAATTAAGTATTATTCATAGTCCCATTAGTTTATTTGGGCGAATGGCTATTGAATCTGGCCGATCTTTCTTTTTTATATATATGTAAATGCTTGTATGTATATATTCAGACAATAATGTATACATTGATTTGATTTACAAATAAAGTTCTCACTCCATTTATTTATCTACTCAAATGGTTTGATCTGCTAAATTTGTGTGCTTGATATATAACCATCCTTAATATACCTCGTATTCAACTTCTTGTATCGAGTTGTTAAGTAAACTTTGTCACTCATCCGGATCAATCTAATAAAGTATATGCAATTACTCATTGACGTCGAATAGGGTTAGCACAGAGACAGTCACTGTTTTTAAGGTGATAGTTAAAATAAACCTACATGTACTCTTTAATATTCAAGATATGTCATCAGTTGTGATAGATTTATCAGACATACTAGTTTGACGTTGTCCTGAAATAGTATACTGGTAAAGTACGTCGAAACTGTTCTTTTCAAACAATTTAATGCGACAAACTACTTACAGTTGGAAATTTTCGATCATCTATTCGCCTATCAAAATTGTATTTGAACGCGTTTCTTTTGCTATGTTCATAGACTATAAACAGTTTACGATAGCACTTCATGAGAAGTTAGTGGTAGTCATATAAGACTCATTATTAATTAAGATGCTTGACATTAGAATCAGGGAGTCATGTACTTTGTATATATACAATAGATTTGATCATATAATGGTTGACACACTTTGACTGTTAAATCCTATGTTGATCGAAGCGAGGAAATTAGTTGCCATTGTCATAGATCTGTTGCCTGGAGAAAGACTTCTCGACCTTGAGTATGCGGACGATATTGTCTTACTGTGCGATAATGCCCAAGGCATGCAATCCGCACTTAATCAGTTGGCAATCAGTGTCCGTAGGTATGGTATGTGCTTTGCACCTTCGAAGTGCAAAGTACTTCTACAAGACTGGCAGGATTCCAATCCTGTACTCACCCTGGATGGTGAGCAGATAGACGTAGTCGAGAAGTTCGTGTATCTGGGTAGCTGCATAAGTGCTGGTGGGGGTGTGAGTGATGAGATCAATGCACGTATAGTGAAAGCCAGAGTGGCTTATGCCAATCTGGGCCATCTTTGGCGCCTTCGTGATGTTAGTCTGGCTGTAAAAGGTCGGATCTACAACGCGTCAGTGAGAGCAGTTTTGCTCTATGCTTGTGAAACCTGGCCTCTCCGAGTTGAGGACGTTAGACGACTCTCTGTGTTCGATCATCGCTGTCTCCGAAGGATTGCTGATATTCAGTGGCAACACCATGTCAGTAATGCAGAGGTTCGGCATCGTGTGTTTGGGCACAGAGATGATAATTCAATTGGTGTCACCATCTTGAAACACCGACTTCGGTGGCTTGGACATGTTCTACGAATGTCGTCCCAGAGAATTCCACGTCGTGCATTATTTGCCGACTCTGGGACTGGTTGGAAAAAGCGGAGAGGTGGTCAGTGCATGACATGGTGTCGTGGTATGAAAGAAAGCTGCAAAGGACTGGCTTCTGTCGGTCCTTGACGACTCCCTGGTTGGGGTCTGAGAGATGGTGCTACACAGTGGCTAGAGACGATATCAGATATGGCTCAGAATAGAAGCCAGTGGCGGTCCTGCTGTAACCTTCTTTTACTTTCTTCATAAAAGTGGCTGTGTCTCTCTTACTTGAAAGATTTCTTCTGATTGTACCTTTCTGTTCCATCGTTACGACCACACTACCTTTTGTGGTCCTTAGTTTTTTTTTCTATCTTCGAATTTTCATTGTTTTGTGTGGCGCATATATATTGGCGCTCTCTTGTACCAATATTTATGTGTTCAAATAAATAAAATAAATCCTATGTAGTGGTTTTACTTATCTGTTAACATATCAATAACATCAGATAACAAAGCTTTGTATCCTTTAAGGCGATAACAACTGAGGCTACTGATAAGCATACTGTCCATGTTATGGGTTACAGTTGTGCCTAGCACATTGAAAGTAAAGGTGAACAGTTCAAAAGCTGTTATTTGTCCAATAATTGATAGAATATTTGAAATCTAAAAGAGTTCGGACTCTATTATTAATTGTGACCAAAAAATAATCACAAGTAATTCGTTCAGGATACGACTATAGCTGTTATCTTGACGTGGTGGTCGGGCTTTCCTATCGAGATGAACCAATCGGAATATACTGGTTGGAACAGTCGTACCTCAAGATACTATCACACCAGACAGGTTGGTTAAACAACGGTAAGAATAAAAGCAGCAAATCCAAGGCCCGACGGCGAAGTAGTACTGCTGACGGTACAGTAGTAAGGTGTTTCCCTCAGACAACCAGAATAACACCGATGCCCCCCTTTCCACTGAGAAAGGGTGAGGTTAGAAAAGGTCGAACCTAAAAGTGCATACCCCGCCCTGTCCCACGGATATCCGTCTCCGGTGGTAAGGTTTCAACAAGTACGGAGCTAAAAAATTACCTAAAAAAGGGTCGTTTGTGACCAGCCTCAAGCAGATAGCTCTTGGCCATTGCGATCATTCTCTCCGGTCACTAAGACCAACTCTAACCCAATTTTCTTTTCAGGTACTTTTAGAAAAACACTTCCAATATAGAGACTATAAGCATGCTGACTGTGACCTCCTGCATTCACTGATTAAACTTTCAGACTCGGATAACTTTATTTCATGTAATAGTCTCATGGGTACTATCGACGAATTCTATCTGATCATTAACTCTTGTTTAGATTCCAGTGTAACTCTTAAAACGTACAGGTTTAATAAACCTTACGAATTATATATACCAGCTAAATATCGTAATAAACTAAGACGCCTACAGAATCGTTTTTTTCAAGTCAAACGACTTCACAGCATTTGCACAAATAACAATTTTTAATCAAATTAAAGAGAAATATAGGTTAAAAGCCATTAATGAGGAGCTGTTAGCCCTTAATACTAACTCGAAAAACAAAACTTAACTCTCCTTTTCAATAAACGCGCTAAAGCAACTCGAAATGTTGATATACCGTGCATCCAGCATAATAGCACTTTTATATACGACTCTAAAATTATGGCCGACCTTTTCAGTAGTATATTCGCGAATGGTGTAGAAAACATAAGTGGCTATGCTTCAAGAGTTATGTGCGTGACTAGCAACTCAATAAAATCTATCTCATTCACATGCATGAAAATTAATAAGGCTATAAATACCCTTAAGCTTTCGAAAGGTCATGGAGTAGACGGGATTTCATCATTTCTCTACAAATATGGTGGTCCAGATATTCCACTTCTTCTAAAGCTGTTTACTCTCTCTATGGAAACCGGTTCTTACCCTTACTGTTAGAAAACCGCGTACATCATACCACGTTACAAATCTGGAGATAAGACTGACATGAACAATTACTGGCCAATAAATATTACTCCACTTATTTCTAGGATTATGGGAAAAATTATCAGTGATGAACTTTCCAACTATTTACTCGCTGATAAATTTATCAATGATACTCAACATGGATTTCTTAAAAATCGATCTTGCATGACGTCATTTTGACTTCTTTAATTTAGTTTATTCTCTACGTAGCCAAGGATATCTAGTCTTAGTGCTATATCTGGACATTTCTAAAGCC